AGAACTTTCTTCCTTAATCTCTCCTTTTCTTGTGTCCGTAATCCTTGCTGAAAAATACAGGAGACCATAAAACGGGTTCAGATAACTAATAAGTAAAATATGAGAAATTGCCAGAGTTTGCACAGGAGCCCAGGTCTAAACATAAGAAACACTTAGATTTTTGCAAAAGCATCAGCATTCTCAGAGATAGCCAGGTATGAAGTTACTCTCTCAAAGCTGAGACAATATTAAAAGAAAGGATATTATAGCTCCCTTCTTTATACTTTTAGAGAGAATTTAAGAAAGAACTTAACTCTTTTAACTAATTTAAAACTGTTCAGATTGAGAAGCATAACAAAGCATGATAAACCCTAACCAATTGAGAGAAACAGCCAGTTCTTCTCTCAAACTTTTATTTATACTCCTCAGAATGTAGTACAGAGTCATAGGGGCAAAGGACCTGCATAGATTTCAATTAAAGATGAGGAGAGTGTGGAAGGGAGTAGCAGGTACTAAGGATACTCAGACAGTTATCCACAGAGAACACTTTGAGACTATGTTTTATTTTCTACCTTTTTTGTTTTCTTTTTCTCCCTCTCTGTATGTTCTAATTTCCTTTAATTGAACATAATGAGTTACTTGTACTAAGGGGGAAATGAAAAAACAAATTTTAATTAAAAAGTTCAGACCACATGGGGGCAGTGCTTCCACTGACAGCCGTGACTGGCTGGAAGCTAGAACCCTGAACAGGAGCAGCCAGAAAGAGTCTTTCCAGTGATGGGTTTAATGTGACAAGTGAGATTTTGATTGGTTGTGAAAACACAATGAAGATCACCAGGGGTTTCCACACCAAAAAAGGCAGAAGAACCTGTAAAGTGGCTGAGGCCCACTGAACACGGCCAGTGCGGAGCCTCCTAACTGACTCCTCGGAGACCCTAGGAAGACACAAGAATGGGGATTGCCCTGCGAGCTCCACTGATGCTCCTGTGCGTGCAGCTAACCTGTGAGTGAGGCGAGTGCCAGGGGCACTGGAGGGGCCTAGCGAGGGAAATGCAGCACTTCTGTTAATGACATCTAGAAGGATCCCAGGGACAAGTTGGGGTTTATTCCAAGGAATATGAAACACCTAAGAAATTTTTAAAAGCACAGTTTCTTATGTATGAAAATCTTTTCACTCCTCCTGAACAGGGTCAAACCAACGGCCACCGGTGGAACAGAGCCCAGCTTTCCTGAAAGTCCCGGAAGGAGAGAGCTTCACACTGAATTGTAGTTACACAGAGAGCAATGTCTATTTATTCCAATGGTTTAGGCAGGATCCTGGGGAAGGCCTCATCTCCTTGATACATATGCAATCAAATGTGAAAGACAAGACCAGCGGAAAATTCACAGCCATGCTTAACACAGAGGGCCAGCACTTTTCCCTGCATGTGAGGGATTCCAGGCTCCATGACTCAAGCATGTTCCTGTGTGCAGCAAGCACACAGTGTGGCTCAGGCACCTGCACCCCGCACCGAAACCCTCCCCTATAAGGGCTCCAGGACACTGACTTTAACTTTGCTCTGAGCAAAGGGAAACATGAGGGGTTTTTTATAGCATAATATCAAATATTTTTTATTTGAAGACCATGTGCAGAGGGATAATGTTGTCAAATACCATCTGATGTATTTTGTTTCTCAGTGTGAAGTCCTTACTTTGATAAAAGTAGTCCAAAAACCTGAGGCTTAGTATCAGAAAGAAGAGAGCACTAAAAAAGAACAAAGAGAAAACAGAGTGAAATTCTTGCCACTGAGCTCCTTTGTAGACTTTTACAAATATACTGAAAATACAGTATCTTAAAAGCCATGATCATCAACTTCAGAGTGAAAAAAAATGTATTTTGACATTCTGAAAAGACAGGCTTAGAAGATCAAGTACCAAAACCTGAGGGAAACTGGTAGTATAAAGTTTATAAAGGACATCATGAAAAGAGAACACAATATGTTAGGAAATCTGGTTCCTCCTTTAAGAGGGGTTAAAAGATCAACTACCTGGCTGGAGAACAGTCAAAGGAGTGTGACCAGAGGTTAACAACAGTGGGTCTTTGAAAAGTGCCCAGCATCCTGCTCTTTTCTAAGGTCAAAGCCCTGAGCAGGTGGGGTGGGGGAAGGATGAGTCACATTAAGGGGTGACCATGAACTGAAGGAGCAGTGTGTGTAGGCACAAATTATCTCTTACATTATCTCTTACATCATTGTCTCTTACATCCATGCCCACTGGAGAGCATCCACTAAGGAGGAAGCACTGAACAATCATGTGAGCAACATAATCCATCTAGAGGATATTACCAGCCTCTGTCCATTTCAGTGCTTGAACAATAGATCTATGAACAGATTTGCCAATGTGACTGAATAGAGGTTCTAGATGGCCCAGAAGAATGGTTTTCTCTGCTACTTCTGCTGCCAGATGGCCTACCTGTCAGCAGTAGATACCACACAGAGCCTTCAGTATAGAGTTATCCCCTCAAGGAGATCACCAGCCACTTGTTGGCAAATTGATTGCATTGGAGCACTTCCACTCTGGAGGTGACAGAAGTCTTTTTTTATTGGGATTAATACATACCTCTGGGTATGAGTTTGCCTTGCCTTCCACAATGCCACACATAGCACCACAAACTGAGGGTTCAGAGTGTCTGACTGATCTTCAAAGGATTTCTAATTCCTCTTCATCAACAGACCCGCTTTATAGCAAGGAGGTGTGAGAATGGACACCCAACCATTGGATATTCTGATCCTACTACATAAAGCATTGTCCACAAACCACCAGCCTAAAAGAACATTGGAATCACAACTCCAAGGCACAGCTAAAGCACCAGCTTAGAGACAGCACTCTGAGAGGCTGGAAAGCTATTCTTCAAGATGGTGCTGAGTTCCTAAAGCAGCCCTCAATCAGTGATGGACAGCGAGTTTATGGATTATTCCAGCTCCTTCATGCCTCACTTGGGATAACTCTAACAGCTGTGCTATACTGAATCCCAGAGTTACCCAGCTTGACTAAGTTCCAATTTCCCACAGTCATAGCTGGCTTGATGATGACACCCTGTATTGTCTTCCTTCCCTTCCCTGATTCCTTTCCAACCAATGTTTTCTAGCATCACTTGCACATAAACTGCTTACACAAATCTTCATACTGGAGCTGACTTTTCAGGATCCAAAACTAAAATACAGGAATTCTAATCATCAGACAAAAATAGAGATGATCTAAAAGAAAGTCTGCTGCTCCTTCTTCCATTGCTATCAAACCGGGTTTTGGGGCACAAGAGATTCTAGCAGCTTCATCCAGGGCTGGTTCCAACTCTCACAACTCCCTGCATCACTCTCTGAGTGGAGAGGTTCAGCCCCTTACCACTGTGTCACAGGGAACCATGCTGCTCAGACAGTGCCTGGAGTGTAACAGGACCCCATTAGTACTCGTGACTTAGGGACTCCAACACTAGAATTCAGAACATATCTCTGTCGCTCCCTCTAGAAATGCAAACTTCTAGTGAATCATAGCACGTTTTTTAAAGCTTTTTGTTCACAATACTTTCTCAAAATAGAATGAGTGGTGAGAACAACTCTTAAAGTGAGTTGTTTGAGGCAGTTTAGTGCTGATGAGAACCTTGCAATAGTTACTTCAGAGTTTCTTGATACAGCACAAATAAGAACTTATTTTTTAAAGTATCTATGGAAAAATAGGCACAATTAGACATGACATGAACAGCTTCTGAGTTTAGTCAGTGCTGTTTCAGTCAAAAATATATACTTTTTTTTCTCATTCTTCATTTTGAGAAATTGTGAAAATGTAAAAATTGAATAAATAAGTATAATACGTGTATTCTTATTACCCATAATTAATTGTTCATATTTAACATAGTTGCTTGTCATTTTTATTTTAAAAAGAAGAAAAGAAAAATTATAGAGTTTGCCAGTGTTGCAAATGAAACCCTGCCACTTCTGCTCTCCATTCCAGGTCCAGTCTCCTCTCTGAGATTAGGTCTTATCAGAAATAAATGTGCCATCTCTCTTTCCTCTGTATTTTCATTCTAGAATAAAAGAACGCAGAAAATATTTTTCATTTTCATTTAAAATTATAATCAAGCCCAGCCAGGCGTGGCTCAGCGGTTGAGCGTCAACCTAGGATCCAGGAGATTGGGGTTTGATTCCCAGTCAGGGCACATGCCAGGGTTGTGGGCTGCAGCCGATCAATGACTCTCTCATCACTGATGCTTCTATCTCTCTCTCTCCCTCTCCCTTCCTCTCTCTGAAATCAATAAAGATATATTTTTAAAAATAAAATAAAATTATAATTAAGGCCTATTTTCTGAAAGAGAAACCAAAAAGTATTGGGACAACTCCTTCCAATGGAATACTACTCAGCCATAAAAAGGAAGAAAATTTTACCCTTTATGACAGCATGAATGGACCTGGAAAATATAAGCTAAGTAAAATAAGCCAGTCAGAGAAAGACAAGTACCATATGATTTCACTCATATATGGAATTTAACGAACAAACCAAACTACCAAGCAAAATAGAGACAGACTCATAGGTAGAGAGCAGGCAGACAGCTCCGGGGATGAGGGGTTGGGGAGGGCAGTATTCAGCAAAAAGGAGGAAAAAAAGAGACAGAACTCATGGACATGGATAACAGTGTGGTGATTACAGGGACGGAGGGGGATGGGTAGGGGTGGGAGAAGACATAGAGGGGATACATGGGAAAAATAAAATTATATTAAATTTAAAAATAAATAAGTAAAATGCAAAAAAAAAAGACTCAACTAATGAATGTATAAGTGGAACAGCAAATCAATATCTCTCTCTCTTTCTTTCTCTCTCTTTCCCCCTTCCCCTCTCTAAAATCAAAAAGTTAAGTAACATTTTTTTTAAAACCTCCTCACTGAGGCATAGTCACCCTCCCACCTGTGATACCATCTCCTGTCACCAGGCACAGAAGAGAACCCAGATCAGAGCAAGACACTTCTCATCAGGCAAGCAGAGCTGCCAGCATGACACTTGCTACCTTGCTGTGGACAGTCGCGGTCTCTACCTGTCTTGGTAAGGAAGGTGTAAGTCTTTATTTATAATGTGACCTAATAGGGCTCTGAAACATGGGAAGATTAATAACACAGGACCTGCATTGCCTGACAGAGCCCAGCTAGGGGAGCTAGAAAATGATATGTTCTGCCTGGGGTTTGGATCAAGAAGAGAAAAGGGGGGGGGGGGTACAGGAACCAGCTGTGAGTCTGCCTGCTTTATCTCTCTGGTGTCACACCCCAGTGCAGTCCTTTCTGTCCTCTTTCCCACAGGATCCAGCATGGCCCAGACTGTCACTCAGCCTCAACCAGAAATATCTGTGCAAGAGACAGAGACTGTGACCCTGGGCTGTACATATGACACTAGTGATAGTGATTATTATTTGTTCTGGTACAAACAGCCACCCAGTGGGGAGATGCTGTTCATTATCCGCCAAGAAGCTTATAAGCAACAAAATGCAACAGATAATCGCTTCTCTGTGAACTTCCAGAAAGCAACCAAAAGCTTCAGCCTCAGGATCTCCGACTCCCAGCTGGAGGATGCTGCGATGTATTTCTGTGCCCTCAGTGGGCACAGTGAGACGAGTGACAGGGAGAGACTTACAGAAACCTCAGACCTCAGTGCCTGTGTCAGAGGGAGAGGGGAGTGGCTGGAGTAACAAAAACATAGAAAATCATTGTCTTCTCTTGGGAATTAAAATTCCTCAAGTCTGAATATAAGAAACACAGAGAGATGGGTGTCTGCAAGCTGTAATCCTTAAAATGACAGTAAAAACAACGGTATGTATAGTGCCTTCCAGTTTTACAGTGTCTCCTTACTATCACATGTAACCCTCATAGTTTTGTATGGTATATATGACAGATCAGACTTCCTAAGCATTGCCTTTATCCAGAATATCTTTATAATTTGCCTAGGAGTCCATACCTCCAATAATCTTAAACTTTTTCATTTTACTGATTGAAGCTTTTTAAAAAAATATTTTTTCTTTCAGTTTTCTTTTATTTTACATCCATGTCCAAAACTGAATCTCTTTGGAATAAAGTACCCATTTTAGAACACAACAGGTGTGACAGTGGAGGCGTAACTAGGGAGGGGATCCACTGATCCAACCATGAACCTGAAAGATGACCTGTATCCATGGTACCCAGCGCAGAATGAATGGCCTGTTAAAGGCTCAGCTAAGAAGCCACTCAGGGGTAATACTCTTAGTGTTTAGAATGTTATTCTCCAGAAGCAGTAATATTTATTAAACCAAAATATGGATACATTTGACACCCTTGCTAAAATACACAAGTATAGAAACTAAGAAATGGGTGTGGAATAGGCTCTTCTCACATCACTCCCATAACCCATTTCAGAATTTGTCTTTCTCTTTCCCACAACCTTTGTCTCTGTTGGATTAGAGGTCTAGTTCTCAGAGCAAGAATGCTCCCACCAGAGGATTCAGTAAGCGTTCCACCAAAACTATAGCTAGGTGACTTTGAACTCCTTGTGCCAATGGTCCAGCAGGCAAAGAGAGGAGTTATTAGACTTGGAGGGGTAATTGACCCTGATTGTCATGAAGCATCAGGTGGTTGTTACATAATGAGGGCAAGCCTGAATACGTCTGGAATTTCAGTATTTCATATTGGTTATTTCCATACTCAATAAAAACAGCATGTGGCAGTTGCTGCTACAAGGCCCAAAAAGGGCAAAGTGATCAAGAACTGTGACCCTTCAGTAATGAAGAGTCTGGGTCACCCCATCAGGCCAGCAATCTAGGTCTGCTACAGTGCTATCCAAGAAAATCTGGAGAGTGTGGCAAAAGAGGGAGAACATGGCTATCAATTATAGCCTTGGTACCTGTTAAAGAAATGGGGCCCGAAGTATTAAAACTCTTAATACACCCTCCTGTATTAAGAGTTTTAAATAAATTGCAGCCAGTCACAACCTTGAAGACTCAGTAACACAGTGACAAGCATGCATCTCAGTAGTGCAAAGAGCATGTGTGGCTTGTCACATCCAAATGCCTAGCTCTGGTTTTATCAATAGCTGTTGTAGAGAATTCTGTGGACACTCAGACTCATTACAGCTGGTCACATCCAACATTAAGCATGCACTGTGCAATTTTTTACCTTCTACCTCAGGGCTTTCTCTGACTCCTGGTGAGCTCACTCAGCCCACTGGCAAGCACAGCTTCAAAGGACAGGGGAATTACCAGCCCTCCTGGCAAGACCAACCAGTGATGAAAGAGGACTGATCAATTAAATGTACTAACTTCCTGATTTCCAGCTGACAATCCTGAAAAAAAGGACCCTATATCCTTCTTGGGACATCCTGGAAAAGTCAAAACCAACCTTGCCCTATGTACTTTCTCACTCTTGCTTCCTAAGATTTCTTCCTAAACAAACTGTCTTCACCTGAGTCCTTGCTTCAGGGTCTATTTTGGGGGAAAACAAAATTAAAACAGAGGTTCTTTGAAAATTGAATAGATACGTAAAAGAATAAAGTTCAAGGTGAATCTTACTGATTGCTAGTAAGAACAGGTGGGTACTTGAGCGATTAATTGGTAAAATAAAAGATGTCACCTTGTCTTTTCAAAAGATGGTGAGATAGATCACATTTACAGAACTCCAATCTCTGCAGATGTGTAAGCATGTCTTTTCACTACACAAAAACTTTACTTAACAAATCTAAACTCTTTAATCATTATTCCCTTTTCTGAATCTCCTCACCCTCTACCATTTTAAACCTCATTCCTACTTCTTCCCAAAATATACCTCTATTCAAGTCAATTATTCTCTTTACTGACCCATAAGCACTTCAAGGCCTTGGATTGCTTTTCTTATTGTTCCACTCACCCAAATTTCTCTTTTATGTATATTTCAGGTTCGTCGAGTCATAAACACTTTAAAGCTCTAGCTCCTCCAAGGGTTCTTCTCTCGTAGGGAATCCTTGAATTCTTTCTCTTCCAATGTCATACAGTGTTGAATCTGAACCAAACAATCTGACTCTGACTCCCCTTCTTAAAGCATTCGCTGTTTCAAGTCACTGATCTTTTTTCCCCCAATTACAGAATCCATAGGGACACAACTTTACCTTATACACTTTAACATTTCTTGAAGCTCTGGGCACAGTATTAGGCACATAATAAGCACTCAATAAAGCCTGATGATTTTGCTTAAAGTTTATTTAATAATCATCTTGAATTCATGAAAGAGTGTAGGGGGGGAAATTCATATGTTCAAACAGAGTCATAGAAGGTTTCTTTGAGAAGAGAAAACATGATAAAAATTAGTATTTTTAAAAGTAGTGATAAAGGAAAGAATAGAGTACATTTAAATAAGCAAGATCTCAAAGATCACATGACACTATGTACAGAGAACCCTAAAGATTCAACCAAAAAAATACTGGAAATTGATAAATAAATTCAGTAAAGTAGCAGGATACAAAATAAACATCCAGAAATCAGTTATATTTTTATACACCAATAATGAAGTATCAGAAGGAGAAACTAAGAAAACAATCCTATTTACAATTGCATCAAACAAAATAAAATATGCAGAAATAAATTTCACCAAGGATGTAGAAGAAAGAAATTGAAGAAGATACAAATAAGTGGAAGCATATACCATGTTCATGGATATGAAGCATTAACATCATTAAAATGTCCATACTACCCAAAGCAATTTATAGATTTAAGGCAATTCCTATCAAAATACTAATGGTGTATTTCAAAGAACTAGAACAAATATTCCAAAAACTTATATAGAACCACAAAAGACCCTGCATACCCACAGCAATCTTGAGAAAGGAAAAAAAAGTTGAAGGAATCACAGTACCTGATAGCAACTATACTACAAGGCCATAGTAATTAAAACAGCATGGTACTGACATAAAAACAGGTATATAGGTCAATGGAAAGAATAAAGAGCCCAGGAATAAACCCACTCTTTTATGGTTAATTCACATTCCACAAAGGAAGCAAGAACATACAATATGCTAAAGATAATATGTTCAATAAATAGTGTTGGGAAATTGGACAAATGCATGCAAAAAATAAAAATAAAATGAAACTCAACCACCTTCTTACACCATTCACAAGAATAAACTCGAAAAGGATTTAAGACTTAGATGTAAGACTCAAACCCATAAAAAATCCTAGAAGAACATATAAGCAGTAAAATCTTGGACATTTCTCATAGCAATATTTTTTCTAATATGTCTCCTTGGGCAAGGGAAGTAACAACAAAAAAGAATAAACAAATGGGACTACGTAAAACTAAAAAGTTTTTGCACAGCGAAGAAAACTATCAACAAAATGAAAAGAAAACCCACTGAATGGGAGAACATATTTGCTAATGATACATCTGATAAGGGCTTAATATCCAAAATTTATAAGGAACTTATACAACTCAACACCAAAAAAACAAACAATGCAATTTAAAAATGGGCAAAGGACCTGAATAGACACCTCTCCAAAGAGGACATGCGGGTGGCCAATAGACATATGAAAAGATGCTCAACATCATTAATCATTAAAGAAATGCAAATTAAAACCTCAATGAGATATTACCTCACACCTGTCAGAATGGTTATCATCAATAAATCAACAAAAAACAAGTGTTGGAGAGGATATGGAGAAAAGGGTATCTTAGTGCACTGTTGGTGAGAATGCAGATTAGTGCAGCCACTGTAGAAAGCAGTATGGGGTTACATCAAGAAATTAAAAATGGAACTACCTTATGATTCAGCTATTCCACTTCTGGGAATATATCCAAATAAACCTGAAACACTAATTTGAAAGAATATATGCAACCCTACGTTCATTGCAATAGCCAAGATTTGGAAGCAGCCCAAATGTCCTTCAGTAGATGTGTAGATAAAAAAAACTGTGGCATGTTTGCACAATGGAATACTACTTGGCTGTAAAAAAAAGGGGGAGGGGGCAATCTTACCTTTTGTGACAGCATGGGTGGGCCTGGAGATTATTATGCTAAGTGAAATAAGCCAGTCAGAGAAGGACAAATACCATATGATTTCACTTATATGTGGAATCTAATGAACAAAAACAAACAAACAAAATAGAAAAAGATTCATAGATAAAGGAAACAGATTGATGGCTGTTAGAGGTGAGAAGGTTTTGGGGAGGGGCTGAGGGAAACAGGTGAAGAGATTAAGAAAAAACAACAACTCAGAGACAGAGACAACAATATGGTGATTACCAGGGGGAAACGGGTGGGTGGAGTTAGAAGAGGACAAAGGGCGGATAAATGGTGGAAGGAGACTTGACTTTTAGTGATGACGACACAATACAATATATAGATGATGTATTATAGAATTGTACACCTGAAACCTGTATAATTTTATTAACCAATGTCACCTCAATAAATTCAAAAAATTTCTCTTAAATAAATAAATAAATAATCAAAGTCTTTTCATTGAGTAGAAATAGGAATCAGAAATTCATATAAACAGATAACTTTCTGAACAGATTTCTGGACTAAACCAAGTTTTTTCTTAGTAGAGGAGTAATTATAGAAATTTCCCCAGTAATTATTTCTTTGACCTGAAGAGGGCAGGCACT